AAACTATTTGGTATTTACACATGTGTGACTTATTTATTTCACTTAGGAGTATATCTTCAATATGTATCCATTTTCCTATGAATGAATCTATTCTCTCACTCTTTATGGCTGAGTAATATTCCATTTTATAGAAAAACCACAACTTCTTTATCCAGTTTCCAACGGATGGGCAAATAGGCTGTTTCCAAGATTTAGCTACTACAAACTGTGCCGCTATAAACATGGGTGCACATACTTCTCTGTGATATGATTTTTTTAGTTCTTTTGGAAAGATACCCAGCAGAGGGATGGCTAGGTCAAATGGAACCTCCAGTCCAAGCTCTTTGAGGTATCTCCATATTGATTTCCATAGTGGTTGCACTAGTCTGCACTCCCACCAACAATGGAGGAGGGTTCCTTTCTCCCCACAGCCCCGCCAACATTTGTGATTGTGCGATTTCTTGATAGAGAGAGAGATGTACTATGTTCATGGATCACAAGACTCAATATTTTTAATATATAATTTTTCACCAAATTGTTCTTAAATTGATTTTGTTTTGTTTTGTTTTTGAGTCAGGAATCTTGATATGTTGCCCAGGCTGACTTTGAACTCCTGGGATCAAGTAATCCTCTTGCCTGAGGCTTCCTATTATCTGAGCATATAAATTTGCCCTACCACACCTAGCTCAATCTTAAAATAATTTTAGGTGTAAATTCCTACCAAGTCAGTTTATGAATTTAGAACAATTCTCATTAAAATTGCAGCAGAATTTTTGTTTTGTTTTGTTGTAGAAATTGATAAGCTGATTCTGAAACCCACATGGAAATGGCAAGGACATAACAGTAGTCCTTGCAAAAGAACAAAGTTGGAGGACTAATGCTTGATTTTGAGACTTAATATAATTATCAGAATAGTGGAGCCTTCTGCTACTAGCACAGCTTATATCACTCACACACACACACACACACACACACACACACACACACACACAAAATAACAATTCCTTTTTGTTCATATGGGGTTCCTGACATCAAGAGGTAGGATCACATACCCTCTCCTTGAACACAGTCTGGTCAAGGAGACTTGCTTTCCTTACAGGGTATAGGAGAACTGACTCCACAGGATGCCTCATGGGAATACAAGAAGTATTTTAGCTTCAGCCTGGGTTTCTTGGGACCATCTGCTCTGGCAAAATTCACTCCAGGGTAAGCTGCCACTAAGAAGTCCAACTTCCTGAGGATCTTACTGTGTGAGGAAGTCCCAATGAGTTATTCAAACAGGCTACAGGAAGTTAGATGGCCAGTCTTCTCCCAGATGTTACAGCTGAGGCACTAGATATGAAAATGAAGCCTTTTGGGTCTTCAACCTGGTTATGTTTCCAAATGTTCCAGCCATCATCCAACTTTAAGTGCATGAGAAAAATCCCAAGTAAGAACTGCTCAGATCAGTCCTGCTAACCGTAACAATGTGAAAGACGGTAATAAATTGTGACCTCAAGCAGCACACAAAATCAGGATAGGGGAAGATAGCACCAAGGAAATATCAGAATCCAAAGTCCAAATATAGATGGACTTTGGCCAAAGGTGACCGGCAATACAATACAGAAATTAGTCTTTTAGCAAATGTTGAGTAAGCAATTAAATATACACATGCAAGAAAAAAAGCAAACTTTGATCCATACCTCACACCATATGCAAAAATTAACCCAAAATGGATCATTATAGAATGAAATACCTACAGCTTCCATGAAAAAATAAGAGAATGTCATTGTGATCTTGGCTTTGGCAAATATTTCTTACACCAAGCCTAATCAGTAACAGTAAACACTGCTAAGTAGGACTTCTTCAAAATTAAAAGCAAAAGACATTGGTTTTGTTTTTGTTTGTTTGTTTTACAGATTGGGAGAATATACTTACAAACCATGTAACTAATAAGGAACTTGTATTCAGAATTTATAAAGAACTCCTCAAGCTCAATAATAACAAATTGAACAACCCAATCAAAAATGGGCAACATTTTAAACTTTTGTATTATTTTTATTGTGAAACTGTGGGATTTGGTTTTATTTTCTGTTGTCCTTTATATCCAATATCCTCAATGTAAGAGGATACACAGATATAAAAGCCCTACACATTACTTTCACTGGAAACAAATTTTCTATGTTAGGGATGAGTGGATGGGATAGAAGTTGATGCAGGATTATAAAGCCATACAAGGCTGCTGCATGACTCAAGTGTGGGAGAAGCAGGATTCTGGACTGGTCCATCTGGGCAAAGCATAAACGGACTTTTCCTCAGGAAAGATACATGATGACAAGCAAGGGTATAAAAAGGTATGGATTGTTCTTGTTTACTGGAGGGCCACATTAAAGTCACACTGCCATACCTGTCAGCACTGGACCTCTCACATGCAGTTTTTAGAAATGATGGGGCTGTTGTCAACCAACTTTTGAAACTCCACCACAGGAATCACTGACTTAATTTCTTCCCTGATCAGCCTTTCTCTGCACAGTGCCTCTGTAAAGCCAACTTTTGGGGATCCTACAGAGCCACACTCAGCCAGTACAGAAACTAACTTTGTTGCTTTCTGGAAGGCCCCAGAATCCTTATATGCACCGTACTGCCTAGCTTCTTTGCATTTGCTCTAAGGAAGGAGCTGAAGGCACAAGGTACCTCAACTGTCAGTCCACTCTGAGGGGTTTCAGGGGACTGAACGAAGCTCGGTGAACTTCAGCCCCGAGTCAGTGCGTCTCTGTCTCTTCTTACAGGCAGAAGCAGCAGCCAGGTTGAGGCCAGGAAGATTCTGGTGAAGCCCATAAAGGCAAAGCTCTGAGCCAGGAACCCTGCGGTTTTGTCTTTGGAAGCATGGAACCTATCTTTGGAAAGTCTCCTGTGGGGCCTCGGAGCGGGGAGACGCTCTAGGAAGTCCTGCCCTCTGCCCCTGAACGGTTCGCCCATGTCCAGGCTGTGAGATCAGGGCACCCGAGACTGTGCTCTCCTTTTCAGGCGAACTGGACGCCTTATTTTCTCTGGTGTTTTTTCTGTGCAGTTCCACCCCGCACCTGCCTCCTGCTCACTCCTCGCCGTAGGCAGATGAGGAAGGAGGGCGGCGGGGGCAGAGGAAGGGAGGGAAGCAGCCTCGGTTGGGATAGAGCAGGAGCCGGTGGGGTTGAGGACCAGGTGCGCACATCCTCGCCTGCCCCAGCCGGTGAGGTGGAGCTGGCCAGCCCGGACCCTGACGACGCCGGGCTCCTCGCCCAACTCTGCTTTGGAACGGAAAAGGCTGCCTTCTACCTTTCCTAAAACAACTGTGGAGCTGATAGAGGGGGCGCTTCAGTTACTCCGAAATGACCCGCGATCTCTCTGTGGAGCCAAAATCAGTCAACACAGGAAACACACACAGACACCCCCCCGCTTAAACCAATAGCTGGTTTCTAAGCGGAGCCTTCTCTAACAGCCTCTGAGCTCCGTGTCCACAGAGCGGGTGTTCTCAGCGATTCCCGCGCAAGCCGGCAAGGACTCGCCCGTCTCAGCCAGAGCGCAGACTCAGAAGCGCACGAACGGAAGAAGCTCTTCTCCCTCCTCACATTCACTCTTTTTCTTTTTTTTAACCCTCAAAGGATTCAGATACCATTTTGGGGAAAAGGATTATATTAAAAATGGAGCAATTTTCTAATTAAAAAAACACCAGATTGTTTTTACCCGGTGGCAAACTAGTGGCAGAATATATTTAGATTTTTTTTTTTTTTTTTCAGGCATCCATGATTGGGGTACGGATTAAAATGTACATAAAGAGAGTGCATATTTATTGCTGGGAAACGTCTCCCTAAGCATTTTCTTCCTGGTGAGGGATGGTATGTTCCTCTCCATCTGGTGTTCCTTGCACTGCTGCAGGAGCTGAGGGGTCCCCTTTGGGCTTTGACCGCTGCTCTGTACCCTGAGCCCGGCACAGGTCCTCAACACAAGAGACAAACCCTCAAACACCTGGCCTGGGGACCCTGCGCTCTCCAGAGAGCAGAGGGCCAAGAATGCTTGTCTTACCAGCCTGGTAGTCTTCTTGGAAAGATCTGGTTCATTAAGGATGAGAAGGAGGTGGAGACTGCACACCCCTGAGGTCCTCTCCTCTTCCTGCTCCCCACTTTGCTTGTCTGTGAAATAAAGAAAAGGGCACAACTTTAGCAGTAACGGCTCAGTTATTTTATTTTTTAGAAGTTTGAGGACCCATTATAAAATATTAGCATTTTTTGTTTATGGAATGTGGATGCTTAATTATTTGCTATAGTATTCTCTGCAATTTCTGTCGATCCTCTGAGCCCTTCTATGTCTTTCCAGTTTCCTACAAAGGAAGAGAAAAATGAAAGGGTTGTGTGAAATCTGGTCCTCCTTGCTTGACTTTGGCTCTGTGCACAGGGAAGGCTCAAGAAACCCAATTCCTGTAGAAAGGAGAGGCGTTACTCTTATTCATCCCATTTCTATCCCCTATGTTTCTCTGAGAATTCACAAAAACCCAGCAGGAAGCTTTACCCCACCCACCTCTCACTTTGTCTGGGGCAGCTGTTGCTGACCAGGCTGTTTGCTTTGCTGAGGAATAGGAGTTCTCCAGCTGGCAGCAAGCAAGTTCAGCTGATGTCATCATGAGGCTTTGATTCGATCTCATCCCCGTCCCAACAGAAACATCCACCTGTAGGAAAAGAACCTACTCTCTGTAGCCATTGAATATTTGCCTTGTACAATGAAATCCCAAATGTTCTTGGGCTTAACAAAAATACATTGCGAGAGAAAACCCACATTGACATTTCCACTCTTCTTAACTTGAAAACAGCCAAACTAAATTAAGTAACAACAACAACAAAAAGTTGTTTCCCACACGGTTTGCCCAGCTCTTACCGCTAGTTTTCAGCCTGAACCAATTTTCATGCTTGAGTTATTAACTTATGAAAATAGGCACAAAAGGGGGAAAATGTGAACAAATCCTCTGCTACATTATTAGTCATTGCTACAGCTGAATGAGTTCCGGCACAAGGCATGTTATTCTGCCTGCCAGTATCTTCATTTTGAGCAAAATGTAGCTTGCTAATGGGTTCTGCCTCATATACTTTTCTGTAATCATTACGTTGCCATTCTTTGTAATTTATCCTGTTTTTTATGAGGAGCATGTGCATTAGGCATAAACACACACACACACACACACACTTGCATATGCACATGTACATCTTTTAAGTCCCCTTTCACTTGTGGCTGAAAATAAAGGTCACAAACCTGCCAGTCATGTGTGGAAAGCTCCACTGGATTGACATGCTGTTTGGAACTCATGGTAGTGGTGAATGGGAACTGATAATGAAAACCTAGTGAAATGGGGGTGGCCAATCAAGGTAGTCTGGAGAAGATGGAGAAGAGCTGGGTGAATTTCACCCATCCCACCTTGGGATCACCTTGGGAAGCAAGGTGCAGGACCAAAATCTTCCCAGGCCAATCAGAGAAGCCAGGCTTACTTGCTGAGTGAGTTCAGATTTCCTGATAAGCTGCCAGATTCTGGGAAGTAGTCCCCCTTTTCAGTAGTTTCTGTCTTGGGCTCAGAAGTGCTGCCCCCAAACCAGAATAAGCCGAGTGAATAAAAGAATTGAGTTTTGAGTCTCTTTGATTTTTTTGCTTCTTTGAACTCCAGCATTGGTTGGAGAAATCAAGGCCCATGAATGTTTACTTTTGAAAAATATACAACAAAATGAACAGACAAGAAAATAGGCAGAAGAAACAGGGAAGAGATAGAAAAAGCTTGAAGACAATCATGATTTTCATAAACCAGGTATAAATCATCAGAATGGGCTCCAAAACTGATCAGAATTCTGCATGGGGCCAGGGAAGCGGCCAACAGGTGCAGGGGGAGCAGGGCTCCCCACAGTTTCAGCCAGTGAGAGAAGCCCTTGGTGTCTTCCTTCAGGATTAGGTTAACTTCATTCTCCATCAGACTCCTTCCTCGCCAGGAAGCAACAATTGCATACCAAATATATATTTTATCCTGTTTGAAGTGTTAATGAATGCTTTGATTTTGTTCTATCCCCCTCATTATGACATATGTGGTTCCTTTCTCTCCTGGGAAGTTGATTTTACCCCTTAGCAAGTTTCCTGCTCAGCTGAGCCCAAACATTTCCAAGGGGTCCTCTCCTGCCAGGGTCCAAAGTGATTGCTGAGCCAAAGACTCCAGAATCAGGTTCTGACCCTGCCTCCGTGCCCATCACTACAGGCCCCAGCTAACAGGAAAGTGCCTGCAGTGATTCTCAACACTTATGTCCTGTTAGACACTGAGAAACACATCCATGTTACATTTCCCCTGATTCTGTGGCCTTTGAAGGTCACTACTCTGGACAGAATGTAGGAAGCAAGAGCTCCCACAGATCTGGAATCTCATCCTCCTTTTACAGGTGACCAACTGAAGCAAAGTGGCTGACCCATGGCTTCACTGTAGGTGGTAGCGAACTGCAACTGAGCAGAGCATTGTTCCATCCAGCTGGCCTTGTTCCCTGAGGCCCACTGGCCATAGCAACCCCACCCAAGTTGCCTTCCCTCCCTCCTGGTGCCAGCGCAAAGCCAGCAGGATAGATTCCTGCAAACTGGAGAATGCTTGAGCCATGTGGCTTAAGCCATGTGTCATTGCGTGAGACAGGTGCCTCTCCACTCCATTCTGGCCATGGGAAATCAATGGTAACCTGTGAGAAAGGGCCCTCTGTGCCTCAGTCACGACGACCAGTAAGGACATCACAGAGCAGTCCTTGCTCCTGACATCCAGGGCATAACAACAACACAAACTTCCCTGGCAGAAAATGGGCAAAGACCTGAAATTCAGACCAGAACAAACACGGCCCCTTACCTCCCTGCATCACAGTTACAGGCACCACATCTTACTGTGCATGTGCATCTCGCCAAGTCCCTTCGCTCATCCCTGAAGTGGGTATCAAGGGAATCACGATCAGTTCCCCCCCTTAGTTTTTCTTGTTAACCATTCTAAGTATATGGTTCAACAATGTTAAGCACATTCATGGTGCTGTGTAATCAACCTCCAGAACCATTTTACACATGCACAACTGAAACTCTGCTCATTACACAACGACTTTCCAACTCTCCTCCTGGCAACCGCTGCCCTGCTGTCTGTCTATGAATTCAATTGGCCCAAGTAACTCCGGTAACTGGGGTCATAGAGCACTTGTCCTTTTGTAACTGGCTTACTTCACTTAACACAACATCTTCCAGGTTCATCCTGGCTGGAGCAGGCATCTGCATCCCTCCTCTTTAAGGCTGAGTAGTGTTCCATTATTTATGCACCACATTTTGTTTACCCATTCATCTCTCCACGAACACTTGAGATGCTTCTGCCTTTTGTCAACTATGAACAGTGCTGCTATGAGCACAGCCGGGCAGGGTCCTGCTCTCAGTTCTTTTGGATACACACTCAGAAGTGGGCTTGCTGGGTCACACGATAATTCTATTTTGAATTTTTTTGAGGAACCGCCATCCTGTTTCCCACAGTGACTGCACCATTCTATTTTACATTTTCACAGACAGTGCACAAGTCTTTTCCACATCCTCTCCAAAACTTACTATTTTCTGTTTTTTAATATTAGCCAATCCAAAGGGTGAGAAGTGATATCTTCTTGGGGTTTTTATTTGCATTTCCTAAGTTACTGGTGACACTGGGTAGCTTTGGACACTTGTATGTCCTCTTTGAAGAAATGTCTATTCAGGTCTTTTACCCATTTTCTAACAAGGTGGTTGATTTTGGTTTTGTTTTTTTTGTGGGGGTGAGTACTGGGGATCGAACTTGGATCCTTGAGCTTGCAAGCAAGCAACAGTGGTTGACTTTGTTGTTGTTGACTTGGGAATTCTTTATCTCTTCTTTCTCCCCCTTTTTTCTGGCAGCTTAAAGAGCTAAATGAGGGTCAAAGAAATAGATAGGCCAAGTGTGTTGGTACACAACTGTGATTACAGCACTCTGGGAGGCTGAGGCAGGAGAGTTGTGAGTTTGAGCCCAGCCTGGGCAACTTAGTGAGACTGTCTCAAAAGAAAAATTAAAATGGTTTGGAGATATAGCTCAGCATGGAAACTCTGGGTTAAGTCTCCAGGACTCCCCCTTTCCCCCCCAGAAAAGAGATAGACAGTTGCTCAGTCCTTGGGTTGGAGCTGTTTATTTCTGCAGCAGTAGGGAAAGGCCAGCCCTGGTGCAGTGGGCAGGTACACACTGGGCTCATAGAACACTGGCCAAAGGCTGTTTGAAAGCCAGTGGCAAACCCTGGTTCCAGTGGGCCACTTTAATGATGGCTCTGCTTTCTTGTTCTTTCCCCTCTCCAAGGAAAGGGAGAAAGCAAAAGCTGCAGATGGAAAAGTACATTTAAATACATCACGGCTGGGGGACAGTGTGCACATCTGTTCTTAACAGGTTTCACCTGAAACTACTGAAAATATACCTCGACCTGTTTACGTGGAACTGGTTAAATATGGTAAGATTACTTGGAGGGTAACTATGGATTTAGTTGTGGGGGAAAAAAAAAGCCCAGCTACACATGGTCTCTGAACACACTTCTCACATTTTTCTGCAGATGTGTTGAGGGAGCAGATTTGCTGTGAATTTAAAAAATCTGGATTTTTGCAGATTAGTTATAAACAAATTCAAGATGTCCCTGAAGTCTTTGTGTAATGCATCATTCCTGTCTCACCTCTGGTCTCGGCCAGACCTTGGTCACCACCAGACAGGAACCCAAAGCTGCTGGCTTCTCAGCAGTTCTATCCTGCTCCCCAGCAGCTGTCTAGAAGGGAAACTGTGCTGGCTGTTCATATTATTGTTTTCAGAGATATGGAAGGGCATCAGTGTCCCCTGAGGACATACAGATGTGAGTTGAGGCCTCTTTATGCAAGGCACTGTGGTCCTTCAGGAATTCTTGCTTTGTACATGCAGCACCCCAGAAGGCCACTCCATTAACCCCATTATCCAGCTGAGCAAACTGAGGCTGGGCTCCAGGATGGTTTGCTTAGGGCTATTCTGACACTGAGGTGCTGAAAGGAGAAGATTCCTTCCATCCAGATATCCCTTGGGGCAAGACCATGACTCAGATACCCACAGGGCACAGCAAGAATGAAGGACTAACGGATGACACTGGGC